GCAGCCGAAGCCGCAAGTGCGGTATTGACTACTTTATATGAAAGACGGCTTAAGAGAGCATCATTTCATCAGCTTAAGCAATTGACTTTTTTTAATTTTGAAGCGTATGGGCCTTTACGTCGCCGCCCACAAGTTCTAGAATGCCTGCGGGCTCCACGCGTGGAAAATGAAAGAGTTGAATTCGGACTTTTAATTGCCCCCTTCTTTTTTTCTTAAATCTCAACTTGATGCTTGAAAACTTGGAAAAATTGTGTGCCAGACTGGTTAGAGGAGCAGTATACTGTTCTTCCACACACCCAAATATACGGTGGCAAACATGTGCAATTGTTGCAGATTTTCCTTTAACAAATTCAATTATGCAAAATTATGATTTTTTTTATTGGTAGAAAAAAAAAGATTAATTGTTAATTGTGTAATGGAATTGCACAAAATATTTTTATTTGAAAAAAATAAAAAGACCATTATATAAATGATTATTAAATGTATGAAAATGTTCGTTTTTTAACTTATACTTAGAAATTAATTCCTCTTCATGCTATTGTTTTTTATTGATGTACACCCTCTCATATTAATTCAGTGCGTGCATTCATGAAGAAATAAATTTTTTCACGGGTCTTGAGGGGAGTTTGGTAAAGAATTTTTGAAATTAATCATTAATAATTTATTTAATTTGATGAATAAAAATATTTGAATTAAAATATTTGAATTATTAAATAACAATAATTATTAACAATCTAGTTAGACAAATAATTAGTGGCTAGTACTCCAAGTTCAAACTGTAATATAATCCTAAACACTTTCTTAACCACGTTTGTACGCCAAAAAGGACGAGAGGGTATAGTTATTACGACATAATTTGTTTCTTAAGATTATGCTAAACATTATTTTTTTTAGTTTAGTATTTAAAAATAATTGATAAACTATATAATATATATTAATTAACAAATTAAAATTAATCTATATAAGTTAATGTTTTCAAACCCTATAATCACTTGTTTTAGAAAAAAATTAAATATTAATAAAATGAACTAAACCAAAGACATGTATTATATTATTAGTATGACATTAACAAAACATAGTTGACAATAAGCAAATCCAAGGGCCATGTTGTCATCACACAAATAGTTATTATTATGACCACATAAAATACTCCAAGTGTATGTAATTTGTGTGACTTTATCTATTCATCATATTAAAATATTTGAAAGTATTAATTTATAAATTAATTTAAATTATTAAGCAATAAATTGTTTTGTCATTATCAAATTTAATATATTTATATTATAGAAATAGTACATATATGCATTCATTCATAAATATTAAAAATAAAATTATTTTAAAATTATTTATTATAATAAATTTTTATTGAAAAAAATTAAAATATTTTATTTTTAAAATATAAATTAGAATATTTTTTATTTTTTTATAATACTTTATTAAAATAATATAATTTTTAAATAATTTTTTTCATAATTTTTAAGAGATAAAACAAATGAACATTAACTCCTTGTATTATTTATTTGATTTTATATATATATTTTAAATTATATAATAAAATATAATTTTTTTATTTTTTTATTTATTTTATTCAAATACCATACCATTTAAATTTAAAAGGCCAAAGCCCCTATTTGCACCCTCCATTTATTTTTTTTCCGTGGTCAACACCTTTCAAAATTTTTCCTTCCTATTCACACCCTCCACTTTTCAAAACTCGTAAAAAACCCAATATTTTAACTTGCCGTTACGAAACCGTTAATAACCGTTAAAAATTGTAATAGGTGGCATCAAACAGTAATATAATCGTTATGTCATCTTATTACTCCAATGTAAACATTTTTTTTATGACATGGCATAATTAAATAATAATTTATTTCAATTTTTTCATTTTCCTCTTTCCCGACATCATATGTATCATCTTCCTCTTCATCCTCCTGGGTTCCTCATGGAATTAGGAACCAAGACGTTATGTCAAATTTATAAATCCATGTGGATTTTTTTTTATAATGCATTATAATTAAATTATAATTAATTTTAATTTCTTCATTTTTTTTCATTCTTGGCATCATCTTCCCCATCCTCGTCCTTGTCCTCCTGAGTTCCTCACAGAACCCGGGTTCTAAGTTCCTCGTGCAACCAATTTCACATGAATACCTACTAAGCTAAGATTTTCATCCACACAATTATAAGTAAATGAATACTGCACAAAAACAAATATGCATCTTCTACCCCTTTCCCACAAAAAATGAAAAAACCGTTATTGCCATTCATGTTAATCCTACTTGAACTCAAATTGGCAATTGGCAACTTGTTCAAAAACAATCTCCAAGCTCCAAGCAAAAAAACTCACCTTTCCAACAAAAAAATTATTCCAAATTGTTTTGCATAAAATAGAAAAATAAGATAAATATATTCAAAATAAAAAAAAAATGATCGGAAAACCCAGATCTGGGTTCTGCGCAAGAACCCAGAACCATTCTGGGTTCCTGCGTGGAACCCAATTCTGGGTTCCTGCGCAGAACCCAGAACTGGGTTCCACGCCAGGAACCCAGATCTGGGTTCTTGCGAGGAACCCAGCCGCATCATAAACCCAAAAAAAAAAAAAAAAAGGTCCAGGTGATATATTTATATTGCTGTTTGGTACCACAAGTAATATAATTTTTTATTGATTTTACTGTACACGTGGCATCCACGTGTGCAAAAAATAAGCCACATCATCAACAAAAAGGATCTATATTGGATTACTACTTCCATGTAATGTCACGTTAATTTTTGGGTGCCACGTAATGTATTTTTTAACGGTTCCGTAACGGCAAGTTAAAATATTGGGTTTTTTACGGGTTTTGAAAAGTGAATGGTGTGAATAGGGAGGAAAAATTTTGGAAGGTGTTGACCACGGAAAAGAAATAAATGGAGGGTGCAAATAGGGGCTTTGGCCAATTTAAAAACACTGATTTTTACTTAACACCAACTTACTACATGTGTGGTTAGTTATTTTTGTGAGATTTAAAAGTTCTTTCAGTGGACATGGCCCTGGCCCAAACCCAACGACCTAACATTGACTAGTATTTATATTGAAATCCCCAACCAATCCTCACCATGATTGATTTTCCTGTAGCATTCCTTTTCGTGAATCCAAACGTCCAAAATTGACTCATTCCTTGTTTGTAACAATCACTAAAGGCAGAAGGTGCAATTCAGCCCCTGTACCTGCAATGTTGTGGCAATTCAGCCCCTGTAC